GAAAAACCTATCTATTGTGATAGAGAATTATTTCTCTTTGGCCATAAATAATTATTTTAACACTTCAAATTTCACTAATGCATTTTAAATTTCTTTCTCTTGCATCTCCATAAATATGAAATATACAAATTTCTTCATAATTGCCTTTAAATATTTATAAAAATAATAAAAGAGTATAGAAATAATAGAAACAAATTTTAGGATTGAGGCATTAAAAAAATAGTTTCTTAAAGGCAATTATGTTTTTAAGATACAATAAAGTCTCAAAAATTCTCTAAGTAGAAGTAGTAAAAATTTTATATTGAAAGATTTATTTATAATAAATGAATAGACATAAATTTCTATAATAAAATGACATTTGTACAATCATGATTTATATGAATAATCATCTATTTCTCTTTAAATAGTTATGACTATTTGTCATAAAATAATTATTTCTGTTCAAATAAATTATTTAAAATATGAATAAAATTAATATAAAAATTGGATCTATTTACCAATAATTAAATCTTTTTATCTAATGTGAGATATACCATATTTTAAACTATCAACATAAATTTAGGTATATTGACATTTTTGCTCTCTAACTATAAAAAAAGACCATAATCTTTTCTTCTGAGTTAAATTGATCATATTTTAATAAAATAAAAAAGAGTTGCATGTCGTCACGTGATTGACAATGCCTATTTATAATAAATGAATAGACATAAGTTTCTATACTAAATGACATTTGTATAATCATGACTTATATGAATAATCATATATTTGTCTTCAAATAATTTTGACTATTTGTTATAAAATAATTATTTCTATTCAAACATAATTATTTAGAATGTGAATAAAATTAATGTAAAAATTAGATCTATAATTAAATTCTTTTTTTCAATGTGAGATACACTGTAATTTAAACTATCAACATAAATTGAGATATATCAACATTGTTACTCTCTAACTATAAAAAAAACCCTAATCTTTTCTTTTGAGTTAAATTGTTCATATTTTAATAAAATAAAAAAGAGTTGCATGCCATCATCTAATTGACAATGCCACTAGAAGTATTATGTCATATGCCAAATGGACTACCACATTAGTAAAATTGCCATGTGGCATATGATTGACATGTGTTCGATGCCACATGGTGTGGAGAGTTACGTTAAACTCTTAGAAGGCATTTGGTTTGCAGGAAGTAACTTTCCCTCCCAAAATCTTACTTTTTGTAATTTAATCCTTTGATTTAGTTCACGGGATTGTGATTCCTAAGATTTTTTAAAATTTTCAATAGTGTCAAAAAGTAAAAAAGTAGTGGAAATAAAAAACTCTCCTCTTCTTGAAGTTTTTTAAGATTTCGGAAAGAAAGTGAAATTTTTTCCCCATTTATCCTCAATTGTATTTTTTAGATTATATAAATAATATTATTTAACTCAGGAATGTAATAATTTTTTTATAAAATATTATGAAAATAATTTTTTTAATATATTTTAAACAACGATCACGATTTTAACATAATATTATTGAAATTTTCACAAAAGATATGATTAAAAATATGATATTTTTTGAAAAGATGAAAAAATTATTTTTCATAATTCAATAAAAACGGCATTTCTAAAATAACAAGCGTCTTATTTGTTAAAAATATGAAAACATTATTTTTCAAAATTTAACAAGGATGATGTTTTTAACATAAAAATTTTGTTAAAAAGATGATGTTTCTATGATAAAAATGTAGTTTTTCTTAAAAATATTAAAAAATATTTTTCAAAATTCAACAAAGATGATATTTGTATATAGAAAACATAGTGTTTATTAAAAATACGATATTTCTAAGATAAAAACGTAATTTTTGTTAAAAATATAAAAAAATATATTTTTCAAAATTCAACAAAGATGATATTTTAAAGATAGAAAACATGATATTTGTTGAAAATAGATGTTTTTATGACAAAAGCACAATTTTTATTAAAAACATGAAAAAAAATATATTTTTTCATATTTTTGTAAATTCAATAAAGATAATGTTTGTAAGATAAAAACATAATTTTTGTTGAAAACATGAAAAAATATATTTTTTAGAATTCAATAAAGACAACATTTCTAAGACAAAAAATATATATATAGTTTTTGTTATAAAGATGGCTTTCTAAGATAAAAAAACACAGTTTTTGTTGAAAACATAAAAAAAATAAAATATTTTTATTTAATATTATTATATATAAAATCTAAAATATATTAGATCTGCCTATTTTTTCTTCGTAAGACCAATTAATGTGAAGATAGTGATTAGAATTATAATATTATATTTGCTAAAATTTATAAAATATTAGTTTTCAAAATTATTTAATTTTAATGAAAACAATGTATTATTCACATGTTAGTATTATGGATATTACGTGTTATTCATGTATTATCAAAGATAATATAATAAAAAATTTTATTAAGTAATTTTACATTTGTGTGAAATAAACACAAAAATTTTGCATTCTTTAAGTCAATAAAACTAAAATATCACATATTTCCTTTCAATATCACATTTCCTTTCAAAGTTTAAAAATTTATGAACCCAACGTCTCTTGAGAAATTTTTTTTTTCCAAAACAGACAAAACCCACCAATACACCCAAAAAGCTAAACCTGAGGCTACGAAAAAAAATTGTCCGAGCAAAAAAACTTGAAGGTCTCATCCATGTCGTCTACTTTCACTAAGCCAGTAAAAGTGATAAAAGGAGATAGAAACTGCCGATCCAAGTCTAACCTCGGACTTTGTCTTAATTGAACTTCTTAAAACTCATATTTTCCCTCACAATTCTCAATAGCAAAATGAAATTATCAAAAATTTTTTTAAAGGTTGTTGTCTAAATTTCAATGTATGTTTGCAAGTATTCCCTTTCTTTTTTTTTTTAAATTAATATTAATAAAAAAGCAAATGATTAAGTTTTTAGGTTTTTGCAATATAAATATAAATATAAGTTTTTTATTTTTAAATAAATTAATTTAAATAAAAAGATGAATAAGAAAATTATTCTATTAATTTCAATGTATTTTTTGCAATTATTCATTTTTATTAAATTATATTAATAAAAAATAAAATATGAAAAGTTCTTAAAATTAAATTCTATACAATAAATAAAAATATTAATTTTTATTATATTGTTGAATAAATTAGTTTAAATAAAAAGAAAATGATGAAACCTTATTATATTAATTTCATTGTATTGTTGAAAGTCTTTCTTCATTAAATTAATATTAATAAAAATAACAATAAAATATTGAACATTTATTTATGAATAAATTAATTTATATAAAAAATAAAAAAACTTGATAATTTGTATATTCGTGTCGTATAAAATATTAACAATTCATATATTTCTATTTTATTTTACATGAAAATTACGTACGCAGATACGAGAATATGGAATATATATTTTATTTCATTTAACTCATATATGATTTTTACTAAAAGTTTAAATCGTATCACATTTATGTCTCTTTTCATATCTTTTTCGTATCGTATTTTAGATTAATAAAAATATTTTCAGTGTATTTTTGCAAGTATTAATTTTTTTCATTAAATTAATATTGCTAAAAAGTAGAATATGAAAATTTATGTAAAATTAAGTTTCTACACAAATAAAATACAAATAACAATTTAACAATTAATCATTTAAAATTAAAAATTTAAAAAGAAAAATATAAATCAAAATTTCAAAATTTTCTTTTTTTTTTAACAACAAAAATTAATTAAAATTATAGGAAAAAGGAAATTCCATAAGATATTGTTATGTTGATTTGTATGATCTTTTCGTATTCAATTTATTTTACAAAATTTTTCATATTCTACAAACCATTATTGAATTTATGTGAAATGATATGGACACAAAAAGCATAAAATGTTATTATATTAATTCAATTTTTTTATATTCCATTAATTGATAATTCGTGAATACATCTTTAAAAATAAAAATAATAAAAATTAATTTTATTTGAAAAGTTTTTCATAATCTACAGAAATTGATTTATATTCTATTTTCATTCCAAATATTTATTTTTCAATTATTAATTCATGAAATATGCAAAAGTTTAAATTAATATAGTAACATTTGGTGACTTTTGATCTTTTTCATTTTTTCCATATATAATTCGTTACAGTAGAAGAAAGATTTTACACCACCAAGATTTCACTTTTATTTTTTAAGGTTTCATGGTATTGCTATAATTAGATACGAGGTTAGTTTGTCTTTTTTATTTTTTTATTATATATTATTGTTTTTTTAATAATTAGATACGAGGTTAGTTTGTCTTTTTTATTTTTTTATTATATATTATTGTTTTTTTAATATTTTTGTACGTTGTCTTAAAAATTTCTGTGCTTTTTTATTTTTTAATTTTTATTTCAATGAAGCTTATATATTCATATTTTAAACATATATTTGTACATACATACATATATGTACATATATAAAAATATTTTTGTAAATATTTTTGAAGAAAGTAAATATATTACATAGTTTAAATATCATAATTAAATGCACAATGAATGCATATACAGATTAATTAATTCAGAAACAGAATAGAGTGAATTACTTAGGAATTTGAACAGAAACAAATAAAAAGAAAAAACAGAATCCAACAGAACAGTCACACACGATTAGTTTTGTACAACTCATTATGAACTATTTTACACATGTAATCCTCGCGTAAAACAAATGGCGGCCAGTTGCCCAGCTTCCTTTCTCTCCATCACCAACTTTTTACCTTACTCGAGAGCAAGCAGATTCCTGATTCCTTGCTTGACAACTTCTTTGCTTGCTGCTCAAAATGAAAAAAAAAAAAAAAAAAATTGTAGGTAAAAAATTCTTAATTCCAGTAACCAGACTTACAGTAATCTCAAATACCAAAAAGAAGAGAAATTCTTTCTGTAAGATAATTAGAATAGAAATGTACTAGGATTAGGATCCAAGAAATTATAATTTGGAAGTGATATACAAGGAATGAAATAGAGAATACCTGTTACATCGGGGTCATCTAACACATTCATAGCATCATCGACCATAGCATCGGCGTCTTTCAAGAACAATACATTTACACCGGCGGGCAAGTTCAGGGCTTTAGTTATGTTATCTTCTGGAACATCCTTACCGAAGATAATCAATTCCTTGAGATGTGTCTTACTGCCAAATTTCGCTGCTTTAACTTCATCCGCATCTATTGTATTCCCCACCAGCTTTATCCAAAGAGAAGTAAGGCGATCCAAGTTTTCCAGATCCCCGATGCTAAATTCTTTGGAGTCATTGCGATCAGCTCTCACAATGATCCCTGATGCATCCCTAAGAGAAGTTAATTTTGCCAAACCTTTCGGGCAGCAGGTTAGACGTGGGCAACACAAAAGATTAAGGTACCTCAAGTTGGTAAGTTTACCGATTGCTTTTGGCAGTTTCTCAAGATGTATGCAACATGAAATTTCCAAGCATTGCAAATTATATAATTCACTCACCGTTTCAGGCAAGACTTTCATATTCCAAATGGCTGACAAGTTAAGATACCTCAAATGTATCAGTTTCCCTATTTCTTTGGGAATTCCTTTATCCAGACGACCATGCCCGGACAAAGGATCGGCATGCAAATCCAGTAGCCTTAAACGTTTTGAGTGATTAAATAAGTTACACAAGTCTCGATTTGTCAAGACATCCTTTTTGCTCGTCAGTTGAAGTTGCCTCCACAAAGTTTCAAATATTGAAGAAGACGCACCCTGTTCTGCATTTATATCAAGCTTCTGGGTTCCTCTCACATCATGAACGGATGTTACAAGGCTCCGCAGATCCTTTGCACCGACAATGGACTTAGGAAAAGAAGTCTCTCCTCCAAGTACCATCCTTAAATGACGAGTTTTTTTGCAAGATGAGCTTAGTGTCGGTTTTTCACTCTTATTGATACTCTCCAACACAAATTCATCTTTTGTCAAAAATTGGAGGAATTCATGTATAAAGGCATGCATCTTACAGGCAACTACCTGATTCTCTAAGACAGAGTTTCTAAAATTTTGGAAAAACCCACGAGATGCTAAGAGTTTGAAGTATTCTTCACCCGTTAATTCCAACTCCGAATTTTCATCAGATTCTAGATAACCTTGCGCCATCCAATAGCGAATCAATACGTCTTTTATTATAAGAAAATCCTTTGGAAAAATAGCACAATAAAGGAGGCATGGCCTTATAGCAGGGGGTAAATTGCAGTAACTTAAAAATAGAGGATTAAAAACTTTTTCTGCAAACTCTAATTTCCATATTTCATTTTCTAAAATGTGTTCCCACTCTTCTTTACTGCTTTTACTTTGCAATATTCCTCCTAAAGTCTTTGCAACAAGCGGCAAGCCATTACATTTTCTTGCAATTTTTTTCCCAATTTCTTCAAATTCTTTACAATTTTTTTGGTCTCCTCCATTAAATGCTATATCTCTAAGAATTAACCAACATTGGTCGTCACTTAATTTTTCTAGACGACAGACATGGGAGGATTTTAAGCTTTTTGTAACTGACTCGTTGCGAGAAGTTACCAGAAACCTACTTCCTTCCGGACTACTACAGAAGATTTTTTTTAGAGGTTCCCATTCTTCTACTTCATCTATCCACACATCATCCAAAACAAGGAGAACTTTCTTTCCCTGAATTTTTTTATGGATTTTTTCAAGAAGGGTTTGTAATGGAAGTGGACCAATGTCATGTTTTTCAAGGGCTATGAGAATTGCTTTTGAAATTGTGGTAAGATCAAAACAGTTTGAGACACTGACCCAAAGTTTTTCATGGAACTGAGCTTTAACATCATCATCATTATAGACTAGCTGGGAGAGAGCTGTTTTTCCTATTCCTCCTATCCCCAATATAGAGATGGTTTTGAGGTGATCACCAATTTCTTCATCCTGACTTAACAAGTTACTTTTTATGTTCTTCTTCTCCTCCTCTCGCCCATGTAATTTTGACTCATCAACAAAGGATACAGTTTCAATTTTATGTTGTTTAATTTTCACTCCTGTCAACCGACTGTCTTTTTGTTCAACAATATCAGCTATTTTTTTATTGATTTTCTTTATTTTGACAGCAAAATCACGACGCCAAAGAAGCTGCCGAAAAGAAAAGCATGAAATGAAGGGAAATACCTTCCTCTTGAGAAAAGAAGCATTCTGCAATTTAAGGAGTGCAGTGTTCCATTCATCCAATTCATCCTCCACGTCATAAGCTGTTTCTTTGAGATTCTCCAACCAATGCTTGATACTCTTTTCCTTCATCTGTTTTTCTTCGGCATCTTCAAGCAAGCCATGGATCTCCCCAAGATTACTCTCCAGTTTTTTGACTTCTTCCTCGACCCCACTTTGTAGCTGCCATTGTCGTTTGCTGTTTTGAATTAAAAGTTTTGTTAATTGTCCCAGAACTGCAGAAATGAGAGCGTCCATCTTTCAAGGGATAAAGTGATTGGTGGATGTAGAGAGGGTGATCAATGATTAGGTACAAAGATTGAAATATGAGTTGAAAGTTGGTTTGATGATCAATGATTAGGTAAAGAGATTGAAATATGAGGTGAAAGTTGGTTTTGTATATGATTGTTGTCTATTCTCCTTTGTCTAATTTATGGCACTTCAAAAGGAATAAAATCCTACATCAAATTACAAGAAAGCTTCATGCTTTTGGCTAACCAAAGTAACAAGCAAGGGCAACAAAATTCAGTTAATAATTTGTTGTTGATTTACTCCACGTGTATTCTCATTAGTTTTAAATTTTGATTCCCAAAATTTCTAACAAGGGTAATTTGATTCCTTTATGATCAATGAAGTTAACTAATTTCTTCAAGGTTATTTAAATTTGTTGCTATCTTATTCAACCAAAATGTTCTTGATGATCTTACACACAATAGTTTATCAAAGATTGCATCAAAAGGATGTTTAGTTCTTTCCCTAGACCCATGAGGAGAGACAAAGAGACATTTTCCCAAACATTGGATAAACAGACCACCTAAAACTTCTTGAAACAAAAATTTTCTTGCGCCTAACTTAATTCTATCGGTTTATTGTTGAGTTGAACCCCAACATTATGAGCCAAATGTAATCAAATTAAAATTGGACTTGATCCAGTTATGGTTTTTTTTTTTTTTTTTAAATTATAGTGTGATAATCGGTAAAGGGATTGCAAATATTAAAATTTAAATTTCAAATTTGTTAGGTATCACATCTTAGAAAGTGTTTAATTTAGGATAATCAATCTAAAAATCAGGATGATCTGCACTTGATAATTAACATTATTTTGTTTAGTAATAATTTAGAAATCTAACATTTCAATTATTTTAAATCACTATAGTGATAAGTTCATTATTTTGAGAAGTGATCTGATTCTAACTTAAATGATGAAAATTTTTATCCATGAGGAAGTGATTTTCAATATTACTTTCTAACTAATATAGTCTGACGAAAATATATAATTAACATTACCTAGAAATTGACTAGAGAAATTTCAAAACCGATTTTTCTAATAACTTTATGTCATTGAATAAATATTTATTGATTAGAAAAAATAATGAATTTATCTGATTATTTTTAAAAAATTTATTTTTATCAAAATTAATTTATACTTTGATTTTTTTTGTAAAATAATGTTTAAATATTTTATAAATTAATAATTCAATAAGTACTAAATTTTTTGCTTTCTTTTTGTAAAATTATTTTGGATATTTTTTACTCTATGATTTATTTATTTTTACATCAAATACAATAATGTAAGATCACTAGTGATTAATAATATTGCACAAAATATCATAATCTAAGATCACTAATAATTAAATCACTTTGGTGACCTTATCACCATAGTATTAGATTTCGATGATGGTTTTGAAAATGGTACCAAATATTATTTTAAAAGTGATTGCATAAACCAACTTAACTAAATATCATATTCACATCGGTTGGTAGCTGGTTATTAGCAAATTAATGTAAGATCAATTAGAAATTATATAAGTTATCAAATGTTGTGAAGGTGGAAAGCAAGTGCCCCAGCACTGCAGTGAAATAAAGTGTTGGAATTAAAACCTAGGCGAGGTAATTGGATTGATTTCGTCTTCCATTTTTATTCTCATTCTTTTCTCCTCCAGGGAGACAAGGGAAAGAACTTAATTACTTTCTTAATCCTGAAAAAATGTGGGAATATAAAAAATTAAAACCTGAAGCAACTCCATGGATTCTGCCTTCATTTTCCTGTTCTCATTCTTTTATTCTTTTATGGGAGCCAAAGGAAAGGAATTTACTTTTTGTTTTCATATATCTTTGCAACATTTTTTTTTATTCATCTGAATTTGTTAGGTTTAAATTAATTACAAGAGGTAAACTTGAGTTTTTTTTCTTTTAATCAAACCATGTATAGTAATTTAATGTTATGTTTGGCACACAAGATTTTGATAGAATAAAATAAGATAATATTATAAATAAGATTATATTAAATAATATCATTTTATCTTATGTTTGATGTGTGTAAGGATTAAGATAGGATGATTTATTTATTGATCAAAATTATCCTTCTTAAATGTTTATATAATTTAAATTATTGATATAATTTTTTAAAAAATAATAAAACATGTAAGTTTAATTTGATAAATTAAAATTAATCCCTTACTTTTTCAAAAGATAAAGCTACCTATTGACATAAGATATCTATTTCTTTTAATAATCTAATCTTTTTATTTAAGTGCATAACATGTGATAAAATGATTAATATCATATCATTCAACTAATTTATATGCCAAACCTAACCTAAGAACTTATCTGACAATGTATTCCATAACTACTTCACTTTTTTCAAGGTTCAAATCTTAGATTAATAAAAAAAAAAATCAAACTATAATTATTAAGACATCCCTTTGTGTCCATCTTTTTCTCTTTGCTATAAAAAAGCTGAGGAAAAAACATATTAAAACCTTTAAAAATATTTTCCTTTAATTATGCAAACACAATTATATCTAACACTATTAAAAATAAACTTTTTGAATTGATTTAAACTTTGATTTAGCGAATTAAGTAAAAAAAAAAACATTTAAGTCGAAATTAAATTTTTATTTTCATTATATTTTTACGTCGATGTTATCAGACTTGAAAAAAAGGAAAATATTTAGAGTTAATGAATAGGTTAGTTGTTGGCTTTTGTGCTACGCAAGAAGTATTACTTTTTTTTTTTCAAACTTATAAATCATTTTATCATTATCATTTTTAAACAATTTAATACACTAAAACAGGATTACTAATAGAAAAAAAAAACATAAAAATGGCTAAAAAATATCTCAATCAATTGGGGCTTTCACCCAAGTTTGATGGGCTAAAAACAAAATGCTTGGAGGAAAGGACTTGGTCTAGGTCGGATGTGAAAAAGGAATACACAGAAAACTCATGACTTGAACTCTGCCTCTTGCTTTATTGGCTAAAGAAGTTTTATGAAGAGACGGGAATCCTAGTTTCAAGTTAGGATCTTTTCTCTCTTTTTCTTTTGTAAGGTTATGCCCTCCCCTAAAAAAAAAAAAAAAAAATCATGACTTTAACCTAGCTAGCAAGTTGGGCGGCTTTCTCAAATATAATATCTGAAGTGATTTTATCTCATAATTAAAAAGAAGTAAAATCTTTGAAAGTACAATCTTTAACGCATCATATTGATGTAAGAAATTTTTATATTATTAACAAAATTAAATTTTTAGTAATTTTATTTTTTTGAAAAAAATTTAGTTAATCTTACACGCACCACAACTATATTATTAAAAAGTGAGTAAGAAGTTATGAACAATTGAATTAAGAGAAGACACAACACTGGTTATAACTAGCCAATCAATTAACGAGGAATGCCACTAAACAAAAAACCCACAGAAACTTAATTTAAAAAATTAAAAAAAAACTAATTATTTGGATAGAAAACAACCTCAAAATAAATAAAGGAACAATCTGAAATAGCCCGGCATTATATTTCAAAATGAGCTTCTAAATACATCCTGATTTTGATCTTTACACTAGGATTTTTACCCGGCTCCGCTGGGTTTTCTCAAGTAGCACAAGTTTTTTTAATCAATGACAAAAATATTATTTTTTATATATAATGTTCAAAGAGAAAATTTCTTGTTAGTAAAAAGATTGAAAATTAATCAAAAAGAATAATACACCATGCGGTTGTTTTACTTTTGGCAACCAACTTTTTATAGTATGATGTCATGTTAGTTTTATTGAAATAAGGTTATCATAATCAATGATATTGACAATAAAAAAATTTAAGTGTAAAGTTAGCATAAAGTGGCGTCAAAGCATTCCGCAACATATACATAAATCAAACAATAGTTCATAGAAATGAAGTTCGTGTTTTAAAATAACTTGAGTTATAGGTTATATAATGTAGATATTCTATTTTGTTCAATAAATTTTTGAAAATAAAATGGGCTTCATTCACGAGCTGAGCCTTAGTATGAAATTTAGGCTGAAAAGATCAAAAGCTTAAAAAGATGTTAATTTTACTTTTGATTTTAGATTTTGATTTTTTTAATATTTTTTTGTTCTAATTTTAGTTTTGTTTCGAAAGGGTCAAAGAAAAAAGAAAAAAAAATTTTTGATTTTTAATTTTAATTTTAGTTTCAATTTTCCATTTGGACTTTGTTTTTACTTTTAATTTTTTTTTTAAAAAAAAAGATAGAAAATCAAAACGTGTGATTTGTTTTTTAGAGAATTTTGGGATTTTGATGAAATTTAATGATTAAATAATTTTTGGAAAGCTTGGATTCTGATTCAATGAAGAAAAGGAAAGATCACAGGAACTTTAAATCTGGAAATCTTGTTGAAGATTCTGTGAAATCTTGGATTTTTCCAAGTTAATCACTATATAAAGGACTCAATATGTGAATCAAAGAAGGGAAGGAAGGAAAAGAACGGGAAGCAATTAGAAAGATGAGGAAAGCAGGATGTCAAGATCAACCAAGGGCTTATTGAAAAGCACGAAGAATAAGTATCAAGCAAGAATAGGCATCAAGCAGCAAGCAACTTTTTTAGAAAGATTTTGAGTCTATTTTTGAGGATTCTCCAGACTAGGAATGAGCAAAGGAAAAAGTGAGTTGCCCAGTGGCTTTGGCGGCAATAATTTGTGGTGGAGCTTGGTGTCTGGTAAGAAAAGGCTACAGAAAAAAGAAGAAGAAGTTTAAAAATGCAACACTTTGCTTGAAAAAGGCAACATTCTGTAAGTTTAAGTAAAAGAGGAAAGCTAAAGGAAGGTGAGGGACCAATGATTAACACTTGGCCCAATTAAAGGAAGCCTAACTCAAGTTTCAAGACTTGGATCAAGTTAAGATTTAAATTTACCAAGCTAATAATAAACTGAAGCATTGCCTAAGCCCAATTTTGGTAATTTTTCATATTTTTTATTTTAATTTTGTTATTTTTATTTTTATCTC